TGACGGCTCGCGAAGAGGATGGCACTCGCAATTCCCACGCCCGCTCAAACAAGCTCGGGTCTTCCAACTCGTGCCAGCGGCCAGTCAGCCCTTGCCTCGCAGCAGAGCACAACTCCATCGGCGGCATCCCGCCTCATGTCGTATGCTGCAGCCATTCAGTCAGTGCCTCAAGACTGGCACATCGAGTTCAGCCTCGACGGCAAGGCGCTTCCGAGCGAGACAACGATCTACCGTGCGGTCCACATGTCAGCCTCCAACTCGGACGAGAATCTCAGCCGCAGCATCTGGTCTGCGGTGCATCCCATCAAGTTCCGTCGCGCCCCCGGACCTCCACCGCCCGAGAGTGGTAGCACCTTCGGTGGCAGACTCGAGCCCAGCGCTGACGAGAGCACGGACGGCATCCCTAGTTCTCTTGCCAAGCACCCGGCAACAGCATCCATTTTGCGCTTGCTCAACCTCCTCCACGACTTGAATTCCAACGTGGATGATGTCTTGGTGGAGAACAAGGACACCGTCCGCCTCAACGTCGAGCCCCTGTCACAGTTCGTGAACACCAAGCTCACCGCCAAGCTCAACCGTCAACTTGAGGAGCCGCTGGTTGTTGCAAGTAACTGCCTGCCAAGCTGGGCGGAAGACTTGGCCACCCTGTACCCGTTCCTTTTCCCATTTGAGACGCGGCACCTGTTCTTACAGTCCACGTCATTCGGTTACGCACGTTCTATGACGCGCTGGCAGAATGCACAGTCCGTCGAGGAGTCGCGGCGGGACCGTAACGAGCGCCCGTTCCTTGGCCGCCTGCAACGCCAGAAGGTGCGTATCTCGCGATCCAAGATCTTGGAGTCTGCCTTGAAGGTCATGGAGCTCTACGGTGCTTCTCAGAGCATTCTCGAAGTGGAATACTTCGAAGAGGTTGGCACAGGCCTCGGACCGACACTGGAGTTTTATTCGACGGTGTCCAAAGAGTTCTCAAAGAAGAAACTTAAGCTTTGGCGAGAGATGGACTCGCACGACGATGAGTATGTTTCTGGTGTCAGCGGTCTCTTCCCTCGCCCCCTGAGTGCCGACGAAGCTGCTTCTGCCAATGGCGAGCGGATCTGCCAGCTTTTCAAGACTCTCGGCAAATTCGTCGCCCGTTCCATGATTGATTCTCGCATCATCGATCTCAACTTCAACCCCACCTTCTTCCGAATTACTGATGGAGCTTCGATTTCCGGCATCAAGCCCTCGCTAGGAGCTGTCAAGGTTGTCGATCCTGGCCTGGCTAGATCTCTGAAGACCATCAAGAAGTTCTCTCTCGCCAAGAAGGAAATCGATGAGGATCCTACACGCACGCCTGCACAGAAGGTTGCCGACACTGAAGCTATTGTGATTGACGACGTGCGACTGGAGGATCTCTGCCTCGACTTTACATTGCCCGGATACCCCGAGATTGAGCTGGTCGCGAACGGATCTCATGTTAGAGTCACCATGGACAACGTTGACTCGTACCTCGATCGGGTTATCGACATGACACTGGGCAGCGGAGTCCGCCGCCAAGTCGATGCCTTCCGTGCTGGCTTCTCTCAAGTCTTCCCCTATTCGGCTCTGAGTGCATTCACTCCGGATGAGTTGGTCTCGTTGTTTGGTCGTGTGGACGAGGACTGGTCTCTTGAAAGTAAGTTTGATGCCCGGTATAGTCGAAGACACTTCTAATCAGCTGCAGCACTCATGGATTCGATCAAGGCTGATCACGGCTACAACATGGACAGCAAGAGTGTTCGCAATCTGCTGCAGGCCATGAGCGAGCTGACCCCCAACGAGCGTCGCGACTTCTTGCAATTCACCACTGGCAGCCCCAAGCTTCCGATCGGAGGTGAGCTGCCCCACCTTGTTTTGTTGCTTCGAATTCTAATGCGTTTGTGTGCAGGTTTCAAGAGTTTGACGCCCATGTTCACCGTCGTCTGCAAACCGAGCGAGGCACCGTTCACGTCTGATGACTACCTTCCCAGTGTCATGACTTGCGTGAACTACCTCAAGCTCCCCGATTACACGAGTCTCGACATCATGCGCAAGCAGCTGACGATGGCTATCAGAGAGGGACAGGGCGCCTTCCACCTGTCTTGAGAGGCAGCAATTGTGTTTGCCAAAGGAAGGAAAACGGCAACGGATTACGTATCGACGAACTCTTCTCTCTGCCCCAGTTGGGTTCTGGGAAGATTCGCGTGATGATGTCTGCGAATGAATGGGTGGAATAGGGCAACATGAACAAAGGATATCATTTGGGCAAAGGCGCGGAGGGATCCCACGAGAAACAGTCCCCTCACATCATTAGTCATGACTTGCATGGAATGGTCGTTCAGGCGTCAAGAGGCTCTTCTTCTATTTCTTGCGCCTGCTATTCTCGGCCCAGGCTCAGCATTATGCCAGCCATGGAACAGGCTATTAGGGATCAACTTCTGTGGATTGAGTAGTTGTAGAATGGTACAATTAGTATGTGCTTTGCTCAGACTAGTGAACGTGTGGTTGGTATTTCTCGACATTCTCATACCAAAAGGTTAGGGATTCGTGCTGCCAGGTGCCGATATGATCCGGGAGCAGATGCATGAATGCGGATTGCTGATTACTTGGCGGATACTATGTGAACCAAAGTGGCCGTTGTCCGACATAAAATCCGCCCGCCCTTCGTACTTTTGATCGTGGGTCAAGTTAAGGTACCAAGCGGCTCCTTTGGTACAAATGTTGATTCTAGTGGCTAATATCCTGCCAACAGACAAAGATATAGTAGGGCTCATATATACATTTATCTAGGATATAAGATGACCGCACATTGCTAATCCGACTCCTCGATCAACGCCTGCCTGATTCCATCCGCAAGAGCCTTGTGAACCCTCGTGCCGCTGAGTGAGAACCGGTCAGCAACGGAAAAAGCAAGGAAGGCAGAGGGGCTTAAATCCCCGGGAAGATGACTTCATGTCAACAAACTCACATGTGTCCGCTGTCGAACCAAAAGTACTCATGAATGGGCCCGCAGCCGAACTGGGCCGGGTCCTGGACAATCTGCGGCCACTGGCGGCGGGCGTCGCAGAAGTCGGTCGTGTTGGTGATGCCGTAGGGGGCCGGGTTGTCGAAGACGTCGTTGAGAAAGTCGTAGGCGTCAAAGATGATGGTCTTGGCGTCGGCGTGGGCGGCCGCCCAGGCGGCCGTCTGGGTGCGCAGCTCGTCGTACCACCAGCCGATCATGGTGGCGTTGGGCAGCGGGCCGGCGCCGATGCCGGCCTCGTACTGCGCCTGCTTCTTCTGGTTGCCCGGGTTGCGGTCGAGGGGCGGCAGGCCGACGAAGAGGTAGTTGTGGTAGCCGCGGTCGTAGAGGCTCTGGACCGACTCCTCGAGCAGGGCCTTGATGTGGTCGTGGTACATCTGGCGCGAGGTCAGGTTGAGGAGGTAGAGGTCGTTGATGTCGTTGATGCCGATCCAGATGGCGACGAGCGACTTGGAACGGTCGAGGCACGTCTTCTTGCGGAGGACGGGGTCGGCCCAGGTGAGGTACTGCTGGGTCTGGTTCACGAGGGGGATCGTGAAGTTGTGGTGTAAGGGCAGGCTGGCAGGGTCACAGTCAGGCGCGTGTTCAGAGATTGGTCACAGTTGCGTGTTACCAAACACGGCGTTTCGGGGAGGGTTCACTCACAGCGACTCTGCCGTGTTGGCACCAGCAAAGGCGAAATCCCACAGCTGGACCTTGCAGTCGAGGGGAGAGTACGATCCATCCTCGACGGCGCAGTCTGTCAGGTGCTCGATCCAGTTTGGCCCTCCGGCAGATGTGCCGGTGTAGTTTTGCCAAATCTTGTTCTCGAGGAGCTCCTTCGGGGTGAAGGAGAAGTTCCCTGGAAGGTAATCCCCGATGAAGCTGTAAGCCGTGCGGCCATGTGTTCCGAGGACATATGTGTACGAGTCGCCGAACGCGATGCTGAGTTGTGTGTTAGCTTGTGGGCGTGAAACTCGACATACCAAAAGTATGAAATGTTCGCGGTACTTACACAGACTTGGTGTCATGCCAATTGAACTTGCCCGCCGCCGAAACGACAGGCAACAGGCCGCAGACGGCGAGTGTCTTCCAGGAGAGCGACATGTTTCGACTGACCCAATCTTCACGAGAAAGACGATTCCTAGCACATCAACACAACTCTCTCACTCTCTTTTCTCCTGGTGCTTCCTCCTTCCTCCCCCGCCGCTGGCCCGCGGCACTCTTATAACCCGCAGACCATTCGTCAATGAGGGATCGCATAACCGGCACATCTAAGAGCGAGGCCCCCATGTCGACCATTGGTGGGTTATCACGACTTGGCGCTAGAGTACCCAAAAACGCGGAGATCGCCCTCGTTTTTCTTCAACGGTCGCTAGGCCTTCCCCGCATGGTAATCTGCCAGACCCCGGGTCTGCGGACAGAAAAGAGTTAGCCTCTCCTCGCTTGCCGGCCGTCCGGGGGGCGGCGGTTCGACGACTGGAGTTGAGGCGGGGAGGGGGGGGGGAAGGAGGGTCCCCTTGACCAGCAGCCACGGAGAGTGCTGCAGGGCCTGGGAGCTCATGAGCGGGAGCGACTTGGGAAAGATTGGGGGCTGGGAAGTTCTGACATCTTTGTAGGGGGCGCCATCGGCATTTCCCCACGTTGTCGGTTACTCGGCCGAGCCTCAGTAGTAATGTCGAGATCGGTGGCTACAAGAACTCTTGAGAGATGTTTTCCACCTAGTTCGTTCCCTTCAGCCGACGGTTGTCACGGCTTGAAAAGATGCGTGTATGTGGGCGAGCTCGGAAGGCGACGGCTCTCATCATGCTTCTAGTCTCGTCAGTGCCATAGGTGGCGCAGAAAACGAGATACTCGCAAAGTCAAAAGTGATTTCTTCCGTGGCATCTCTATCCGTGGAACAACGGGCTTCTCCACGCTCTGGCATGGTTATGATCAGAAAATATAGGACACTCTCCAAAACCGGTCTCTCTACAATTCACCCTAAACGCACTCAACGGACCTATTGTCCCTAGACGTCAGGCAGCTAGCTGCCTGAAGAATGTAATCTACGCATATGATGTTCACAAAACCCCGGGATTGAAACAAGGCTCTAACTGCCACCCACGCCGCATGCTCTAGATGATTTGCGAAAAAAACAGCGCTGTTGAATACCGTAAAGCTATGTCTATCACGCTTATGTCGAGAACACTGGCTACGAAATCAAGCAAATCCAAATCCCTTCGAGTTCTCCAGCGCCATGGCCAGCCTCTGCCGCAGCACGTCCTTACTCTCATACTCTGGCAGCAACAGGGTGCCATAGCACGTGTAGGCCGTGGGCAAGTGCCCGCCCTCTCCTTCCTCCTCGCCGTTCTTCTGCACCACGAACTGCAGGTTCCGCATCCCGCCGACGGGCACCCTGTCAGAGGCGGTGACGAACTCGAGCAGCCGCCTCTTCATGGTATCGTCATACCGTTTGACAATCGACCAGAAGTCGTGCACAGCGCGGTGGCTGGCGTCCCAGCCGACGTAGCGCGTGTAACGACGCAGCTCGGCAATATCAATGTCTTGGACGCCCTCCACAACAGACTGGAGGAGCGGCGGCGTAAGCAGGCCAAGAGACTTGGGATGGAGGCAGGCGCGGAAGCCGCGCAAGAAAGCCTCAAACTGTGGGCGGACGGAAACATCGGTGAGATAGCGAATGTAGTCGCTGACGTAGGCGTTGCGGTTCTCGTCAGTGACGAGAGGTGCGTCCGCAGGGTTCTGCGCAGCCAGCGACTCGGACTTGGCCTTCAGCTGGGGCCAGTTTGGGTTCTCCGAGTTCATCTCGCGAGAGATGGGTTGGTCGAACATGGAAACCGAGAACTCGTACGTGCGGGCGAACACATCCTCAACAGCCCCGTCCTTCTCGTCCCACTCCAGCAGAGTCGTCAGTCCGCTCGCAAGATCGGGCCATCCGTCGGCGATATGATGCAGCTCGTCGACAGGCTCGCCGAGGAGCTTGCGATACATGGCTTTTGGGAATGTAATGGGCAGCGTCAGACCGTTGTAGACCGCAAGCGACACGAGTATCCCCAGGAGTTCAAACTTCCACACTGGGACGATAGAGCCTGGCACGAACCATGCCATTCTCGTCCGCTCGTCCACTGTGAAGGCGCCAAAATCAGGATCCAGGCACTCAGCAATGGCGAGTCGAAAGAATTCTTGCTGAACACCGCCCGAATCAAAACCTTCTTCGCCACCCTCCTCACCGAGGTGGACTTTGAGAGGCCGCAGCAACTCTCGTGCTTCGCGACGCCACAGCTGATCAAATGCATCCCGCACCACGCCGTCGCGGCTGATGTCGAGCACGAGAAACTTTCCCGACGCTGTTTGGAGGAGATCCTGCAGGACCACGCGATGGTGAGGGTCAGTGATGAGACCACCAGGAGCAACGATTGCCTTCATCCTAGTCTGCAATGAGCTGGATTCTTCGTAGCTACGGCTCATTCGAAGGAAGTTGATGGAGCGGAAGTAGGAGACAAGGGTGGATGGGTTGAAGATGAATGGGAAATCCAGCATATGCTTCTTATGCTGAGTCGTTTTATGCGAAAGCCACTCGACCGGCATATTGATTGAATCTAGGCGATCCGCAAAATAGTCGACACGAAACTGCGCATCACCTAGAAGCAGAGAGTGCCGTTTTTCGTCTTCAGCCATAATTAGTAAGAGTTCGATTGCTGAGGGCTTGCATAAGACTTACACATGGCTGCGATAAGAGCCACCGCTCCCCCGAAGGAGCTGTTGCACGAAATCTCGGGCCGCCCATTCCATTCTCTCAGCATCACCGTCTTCGCCCAGTCAAGCAGCAGTGTAGATGCCCTGGCCTCGTGAACAGCTCGCTCGGCCGCCGTGAATTCTAGGCTAGGCGTCGTGTTGATGCTGAGCAGGTCGAGCTGGGCTAGAAGAGGCTGAAGAGCACTCTGGGCGGTCGGAGCAGAGGCCAGGCCTTCTTTGTTGCCAGTCATCTCCACTGCGTATTGACGAGCCGAGATGGCGGAGAAGAGACGCTTAGCCAGGCGCAAGACTAGATCGTCGGAGAAGGCGTCTTCGTACTGGAGGCACAGCCAAGCGGGCTGTTTCGCAATGGCACCACTGCCGGCAAGCGTTAAGCCATTCGACCTGATCCTGGACATTTCCTGCAGAGTCCGCGTGTCGTGGACAAGTGGCGCTGCGGCAACCAAGGCGTGTAGACAGATGGCCATCAGCTGGCCTGCTTGGGCATTATTGACTGGAGGCCCAAGTACGTCAGGCCTTCGTGAAGAGCGAGACGCCTGGTGAATTCTTGATGTGCTGAAGAGGCTGGCTGAAGCTATCCACAGGCTGTCGAACACCAGACTGGGCGCCACTCTGGTCAATCGCAGCATGCAATACCAGAGTGAATGAGAGTCGAGAAGCTCGCCATCCCTCACGAAGGATGCGATAAGCTTCTCAGGGTCACTCAGGATATTGAACAGACT